CGGAAGAGAGATTGGGAGCAGCACAGTTCTCTTGTGGTCTCAGTACGCTTTTGAAGTCGTTTTTGTAATTGCCAGACTGCAATGGACGGACCGGAAAGGGGGCTAGCCTCCCCTGGCAGGCGTGGGCATGCCACATTCCTCCCCCATTTTGCCACCCCTCAGGACGTGGGGCACGCAGGCACGTGTGGCTGGTGGGTTTCTCAAGCTGCTGGCGCCCAATTCCAACAGCGGTGCGCTGGGTGGGGTCCGGTCTCAATGTGTGCACCTAGCCCTGGCTGTGGGCTGGTCTTAAGTGTATGTTCACTGGGATTTTCAGAGATGAGTGTAGATTCACCTGCAGTGGTAAGAAAAATGGATTCCCCGATGCTCGGTACTGTCTCCTGCAATAGAGTGTGCAAAACCATAGTCCGTTTTCAGTCACAATATTAGCATCGATACAGTCCACAGACCTTCCTCGGATGTCACACTCTCACTCACACGCGATTGTGGTGTGTTCAGTTTTATGCCATCGATCACGTGTAGGGGCATGCACGCAGAACCACAGTCAAAATACCTAACGGTTGAAACACACATCCTACCTCTTTTCTAAGCCTCTTGAGCTGCAATTCGAACCGTAGTCGCCATGTGAGATCAGACTCCCTTAACTGCTGGGCTGTGGGCTGGCTCTCCGTGCCTTTTTATTGCTGAATCAAATATTCTGTTGTGTAGGTATGCCACATTGTATTTGTCCACTCATCAGCTGGCAGCATTTCACTGCTTTATACTTTTTGGCTAATATGAAAAATATTGCTATAAATATTTGTGTACAGCTTTTCTGTGGATATGTTCCACTTCTCTTTGGTAAGCAGCATGTGTATTGCATGGTAACTGCTTAAACCTTTGGAAACCCGCTGTACGCTTTCCTCCAGCAGTGTGAGCGTTCCGGTTCCTCACTCTCTTTGTCAACACTTGTTAGTATCTGTCTTGTGATCATAACCACCCCAGTGGGCGGAATGACACCTCATGGTGATTCGGATTTGCATCTTCCGGATGGTCACGATGTGGAGCGTTTTTCATGAGCTCATTCACCATTTTTTATCTTTTTGTAGAAACGTCTATTCAGATCCTTTACTCATTTTTTAAAAAAAGTTTATTTATTAATTTCATATGAGACGGAGACAGGTACCTGCCAGGGTCCAGCCTCGGCGTGGGTAGGTTATCTCGACGAAGGCGGCGAAGGTGAACAGAAGACAGAGGCCTCGATGCCTTTCATGCACGTCCTATGCCGGACACCCCTCAGAGATCGCTCTCTGAGGAGTGACCACTGCTAGGAATCATCGTGTCTTTTTATTGAGAATGTGTTACATACAGGTAAATGGGAGAGGGGCTAGTGTTTCAATTAACAGCTTATAAAGTTTTTATCAATAAAGAACATAGATTCTATTCAGGGCTGGATTAAGGGTGGGTCTAGTGCAATTCCTATTCAGGGGTGGATTAAGGGTGAGTCTAGTGCAGTTCCTATTCAGGGGTAGATTAAAGGTGGGTCTAGTGCAGTTCCTCAATTGTAGGTGGGTCTCCATGGAATGCAGTTTCTGGAAAGCGGTTCCGGTAAGCGGTGCAGGAGCCATCTTGTGATTACTGGGAATGGTGCTGAGAAAAGAAAATCTCAAGAATAGATATTAGTTCTTATGCATCTTAATAAAGAATGATACTTATACAGTTTTGTAGGGATCTA